TGAAAATTATGGCCATTGGAGGTAATTTTTTCGTTACGAGATTTTCTTTAAATCTGGTTTAAATCTGCTGGCTGTGAACACAATCGCATTAAAATCTTGGAATTGTGTAGCCAAGGATTTACATTTCAGTAGAAATTTGTATCAATACTCTGCGACAAAATATTTTCACGCGCTCACCTTCAACACGATGGGTAGAATGATAAAATTATAGGCATTGAAAATTTTGGAAATAAAAATCTTTTTTTCAGTTTCAAAAACTTTTTTACTATATTATTAATCGGTACAGCATAAGTTTAAAAAAAGTTTTTACGTTTCCTTTGACAAAAAGAAATACTTCAAAAAAGGCGAAATTGCTTTTAAAGCAATAATGATCCAGACCCTCAAGATTGTAATATTAGGCGTTTTCGGAGGCAAGTATAGCAAAAAAAACAGCAAGTTACTGAGCAGTACTGGCCGAAATGTACGCAAAACAACAATACTGTTTTCTCTATCTAGGCCAGAAGTTGTATACTGAAGTCACACTTCGGCCAGTAAAGAAAAAAGTGTTACCAACGCAATAAGAGAACTATTGTGAACCTTCATTGGAAATTCCCACCAATATTACAATCATGTGTCAAAAATCATATGTAAACAAAAATTCAAACGAAATTCAAAAATTTCATATTTTTAAAATTGGGAAAAAGAAAAAAATTGCAGTGTTTTATTTTAAAATTTCCAACACTTTTACCATTCCTTTTAATTCTGTATTCATTTTAATTTTCAATTTATATTAATTATTTATTTTTACACAAAATGTAATTTGCTTGCATTATGTGTACATATGCAGGATTTACTATTTGCCAAAACATAACACTGACAGATTGCAACACTAATGCCAATGTTTCGCTTAGCAAGTATAGGCCAGTATGTATTTTTTGCCGCAGTTGCGAAACACCGAAAACGCCTATTGTTAATGCCCTCGAAAGAATTTAATATCATAGTGACAAGTTTGCATAGGTGTGCTTCTTTGAAACAAAAGAGAAATGAAGCAATAATTCTCAAGTTAAGTGTTCATACATAAGTTTCTGGTTGGAAATACATAAAAATACTAAAGGCTCATTAATGTTTAGTTTGCTTAGCTTGAACGGATAATTTTTCAAATGATTAAGTCTTCAACCGTAAAAAAGGAATTTTAAAATTTTAGCTAGAAACATACTTTATTAGGTATTCTATGCAGATATTTGTCAATATTATGAGCGAAATAACTATGAATTTATGAAAATATTTACGACCACCGTAATTCCCACAGCGAGCAATATACCTTTTTTTCGTTCCAGCGATCCGCAGGACGAACTAGCCCAAAAAACTGTAGATAATAAGAATCTAAGCTGCCAAATGTTACTCCGTTTATCGAAGTCATGGATGTTACCATTCATCCATTCAAAGCAATTCACAATGAATTGAAATAGTTTAATCTATGTGAATCGGTTTCATTAATTGCTTTATCATGGAACACAGTGTCAATTGGAGCTATTCGAAAATGTTAGAAGAATATTTTTTCGCAGTTTGGGGATGACGACGATATTACTTTGGCAGTTTTACGAAACCGGTATGAAATAGCTACAATGAGAAATACTGTACATTTTGTAAATTTTATTTTCACGGAGGTACGTGCCAACAATATTCGCTAGATAAATATTAACATTATACAGTTGACGCTCGCAAATTAGAACCACTTTGTTTTTAAGGTAATTCTAATTTCTGAAAAATTCTAATTTCTGGACAAATTTTTTATTCGAATATAAATAAAAAAATGTAGAAAACTCATCAAAAAAATACAATATATTTCTTTTTTCGCTTTATTTTATTTAATAAACATTTGAAAACGAAATTAAACAATCCCGGCGGAATACATATAACTTGTATTTTTTAACTATATCTAACAAAACATAAAGATTTACTCCAATTGCATCACATGTACATATT